ACGTGTACAAGCCTTGCTGCCTCGGGACTACGAACGCGTACGGTTTTGCCGCAGAATGTTGCAAAAAAATAGAGAGGACCCGAACTTTATAAACAATGTACTGTGGTCGGATGAGAGTACATTTAAAAAGGATGACTTTATGAACATGCACAATTTGTATTCTTATGCGTTGGAGAATCCCTACTCCATTCGAGAAGAAAGGTCCCAGTACCGTTTCAAAGTAAACCTGTGGACTGGTATTCTAAACGGACATGTAATTGGTCATTCGAATTACCAGAAAATCTAAACTGGCAAGCTTATTTACATTTTTGTCAAACCCACCTACCGCTTCTTTTGGCTGCCTGGCACATTATGCACATCAAGTCTGTGCGTATATAAATCAAACCTACCCCCACATATGGATCGGCCGACTTGGTCCAATTTTATGGCCCCCCAAGTCTCCAGACCTAAACCCACCAGATTTTTTTACTGGGATTTCATAAAAGAAAAGGTTTATGCAAGACCAATAAGTAATATTGATGAATTACGTCAGCGAATAACTGACGCAGCCCAAAAGATAAACTTGGCAAGAAATGCAAGATGGATAAAGAGGGCCTTTTTAAAAAGATGCCGCGCCTGCATTCGCGTTGGTGGTGGTCACTTTGAACATATTGTTTGATTTTTTATTTTTCTTAAGTTAAATACATTTTTTATTAACATGACTTAATTTTGTTTAATTTTTAGAATGTTCTCATAAGGTAAATTAGGTATATCCTTCACTGTAAGTCAATAACAGTAAACTGTTTATTAGAACAATGGGTAGTAAAAGTACATTAAATGAGCAAACTTTTCAAATCACTAGCCTGGTTAGTGTAGACCTTTTTTTTGTACAGTATGAGGTGTTAAACTTGAGTGATGGAAAATAAAAATAAATTATTTCTCTGTAAAATAAGATTTCTTATTGAATATTTTGAACTTTTGATTCAATGTTGGTCTTTGTTTAATGAAATGGCTATTCACAGTTGCAAAACCTAAATCAGAATCTAAGAATTATACATTTTTTTAGGAGTGACTCTCGAAAATCTGATCTAAGGGCACGATTTTAACGAATTTTATTAAAGTGGCAATATCTCGAAAACCATCGATTTTTTACTAAGGTCATATTATGTTTTTCTGAAAGCTTATGAGTTGTTCCATCACCCCTTTCAGTATTATCGTTGACTTTCCGGACACCCTGTATATCAGACTAGGTGGATGTAATTACATATTAGAACGTTTAACAATTTTCGGATATTGTCAAAAAAAGGTACCAGATTAGTATTTTTGAACAAAATTTGATATACCTATCAGAGTTGTATTTTAGTTTTATAAAGAATCACTGTTTTTTACTAAAATTAATAGTAAAAAAGTTTATATATGATTCCGACTTAAACAGACATGTTATGTCAATATTGAATGGGGTAATTCTTTGGCCTCTTTTGCTAGTAATATTATTTCATATAAACATACGCCCTAAATTGTTTTTTTTTTTAAGATACACTTTAAACATTGGGTTTTCATTGATAATTTAAATACCTACTTTTTTGACGATTTGATTAAACCTGGCAGGTTTGTTTGTTTGTTATACAGTAAGTACTAACAGGATAGAAAAAGTCCAGGGGCGTCCAAAAATATAAAAAATCTGCATCCTAAAAAGTAATTTAAATAACATATTTATATTACATTTTAAACATAAAATAGGCCAAGGAATCACCTTTTTAAATATTGACATGACATTTAGAAACACCCTATATATACACCATTGAAAACAGTCCACCCGATATTTGACAATAATTATTATATTTAAAAAAAAATTCTAAAACAAATCTAATTTTAATCCAAAGCATCTATTCCCATATAAACGTCTTTCATATATCAATGCCCTTTCCATTTCCGGGAATTTAGCTTGTGTGGCAAATCATTAAAACAGTAAGTTCATGGCAAATTTAGCAATATAACTGTTTTGATTTTAGCGCCCGCTAGCGGAATAAAGAACTGTTACGTATGACTCTTCATTTGAAAGCTAATTTTATTAGTAATACAATGTGTTATTTTGGTTGTTGCGATTAAAGTTCAAGTGATTTAATCGTAAGTTTAATGACAAGGTTTTTCAATCATTTAAGTTCATGTCTCTTTCAATTATGTTTTCTTATATTGTGCATTAAATTATTAAAATTTGTTTAGTAGCTGTATACACCAGGGGCGCATTTACGAAGGGGCAATAGATGCGCACTAATAATTATTAAACTTATCACTAAAAATGAATGAATGATTAGAAATAAAGTCTTAAATATTACCACTATCCCCCATTTTTAAACTCTGGATGCGTCACTGGTATACACAGATTATTCAAAGATTGTTGTATTTCGTGTAGTTATTTTATAAATAAAATGACTTTACACGAAATACAAAAATCTTCTTTCATTAAATTATTAGTAGGGAAATCGAAAAAACTCGCGTGAGATGCAAAATCATTTAGGAAACCCTATACGAATACATTTGAGAGAAATTATCTTGAAAACCACTGACTCTATTGAAATGATACAACATGATAATATTTACGTAGCAAATAATTAAAAATTAAAAAAATATATTATGATGATTACGACAGTGGCGTAGAATGTACTAAGTTTCCACTCCTAAATTTTTAAATAAACCAATTTATTACCTATATATTTATATTTTAGCTAAGGGTTTTGGGTTAAATCGTTATATTTTGAGTCTATTACGCCAGTTGTGAATATCTTTTTTTAACAACTATTATCTTTATTAGCATGTTCTGTGCTACTTGTAAAGTGTTTAGTGTTGTTTCATAATATGCTCTGCACTGAGAAGCTATAAAGTATTTTATTATAGACTCTACTAGTGATGTAGTGATGTATACAGTGGGAAACAGCCAAACAGAATAAATTCGGTAGCTCAATTAATATAATAATAATAATAAATGCTTTTATTGGCCAAACTAAGTACCTAATACAAAGAAAAAAAAATATAAATAGAAATAGTTTGCCAAATGGCAGAGTTCAAAATCTCTGATAGAAATCATAGTTTTGCTCTTCAACTCAATCAGTGCTTATTTATAAAAATCTCGAAACAAGTCAATTTTATATTATAAAATAACATACCGCAACGTGAAAATTTCACCCCCACCCAACCCCGAGTGACATTTGCAAACCCTGAATTTGTTAATAGGAAAAATGGGCTTGTTCTTGATAATAAGAAAGCAAGCAAAAACAATTTCAATTGCCTTTTCGAACAAAAAAAAAAAAAGACAAAAGTTACCAACATTCTTCATAGTTAATTTTGTTTAAAACGCCTCAGTAACTTGCTGCGTGATTGCAACCGCAAGACATTAATTGCTGTCAGAGTTTTATTTTTTGCTATAAATTTAAAAACCACAGCATTTTTTAAATAGAGAATGAAAATACCTTTCAAATGAAGTATCATAAGCCCCTACCTACTATTTACAAATTTGGGGGTTGCTCGAAGGGGGTTGAGGGTAGGGGTGAAATTTTCATATATTAATAATAATAATAATACTAATAATAATACTCTCCCTAATTCACCCCCTTACGAGTGAATTTCAACCCCTGAAGTCGACTGAACGACTTGTGTAGGGGAAGGGACGGCTATTATTATTATTTGCCGTGACGCACCGGGGCGACTTAAAGATGATTGATGGTGCCATTTGACTTACAGGTAAGGAAAACCCGGAAAACCTCACCCACCATCATCGAGACGGTAATGCATGGCGATTTTTTAATCTGCATGTCATATCAACAGAAAATGAATTTCTATTAATACGGCACACATCAAATCCTAAACCGAACCATGCAATTTAATTAAAAATCCACATGGTCTGGCCTGGGATTCGAAGCCCAGCAGTCTCAGACTCATAAACTTGCCTATAAATGAATATAAGCGCGTTAGACCGCTACACTACCGACCCGGCAGGATGTAATTTTATAAACTGAAATTGACGTGTTTCGGGATTTTTTATATTTATGCACAATAATTAAGCTACTGAATTTATTCCTATTGGCTGTTACACGCTGTATAGTGCAGTTTTTTAAGGACCTCTATGAGTTCATAAAATGAATAATATTATTACCATTATTATTTTTGCTACATAATATAATAAAATAAAAGCTAAAAAGAGTAACAAATGTTACCTTTTCCTAAAAGGGGAACAATACGTTTTTTGAGTAATTAAAAATATACAGGGCGGTCCATAAGAAATAACAAAGTTCCCTTACATCTGCCAAAGATCATAATCAATTTCGGTGTAACTGAAGGTTGTACTACAAAAATGACATATGTCAAAAAACTTTTTTGAAGTTGTCCAGTGAAAACCGGAAACTAATAACTCAAAGACTTTTTGAAACTGTATAATCTATTTAATTCTATTGTTGCAATTTGTAATACAGTTTTTTCCAGAAAATATAAAAACTATATCATAGTATAGTTTTTTATTTGTAAATATTATGAAAGACCGTGCTACTGTTGCAATACCCTGTATAATGTAGTTCATGTACTGTTTCAGTTTTGTATCCTTTCTTATAAAAATAAAAACATAATTAACTTTGTATATGGATGCGATTTTCTTTACTTTGATTTTTTTGTGAAATGATTCCTTGTCATATTTAATTAATAAGTTGTTGTAATGAACCTCTTAAAAAAATTTTTTACTACTTTTTACCAACTTTTTAACGATTTAACAATTATGTATACTTATAAAGTTAAATATATAATGTAAAGAACCACCCTTTAGATGCACGCATGCCCTCCACATCTCCACCTATCTGAGATTTGTCTGCGGAACTAGATTAGGAAGCAGTAACTCCACAAAACATTACCAGCGCACAGGACACTTAAAAAACAAAAAACAGCAACAAACAAAACACGCATTAAAACATTAATGCAGGACAACAAGAACAGCAACACGAAACAAGTGATGGGTAAACAGCACAAAATGCATTTACCGTCGCAAAGTTTGCAGCGCTTGGCGCGTGGTTCGCCTAGCGGCCCCGTGCTCACGGGCATTTCCAAGCCGGGGGTTTCATACGGGGGCTGCTGTACGGTCCCGCCCTTCAACCCTATACGACGAACCGCAATGCATTATTTCCACTGAATCGGCACCCGTCCGTTACGTACGTCAATGTTTTTATTGCGGTGAGGGCCCTTTCAAAGGTGACGTGTGCGGGGACGCTGGTGACCGGCGCCGAACACTTTCTGGTTACTTACTGAGTCGAGACGTCGCGGACATCGGTTGCGACGTCGCGGCGTCGGCGTCGTCGACAGGGACCGAACGGACGGCGAGATGGTCGGACGAGGCCGGCCGAAGACGACGCCAGGCATCGGCAGAGGATTATGATCGCGGCGATGCCGGATCGAGTTTTATTGATACGTTATTGCACTTTTTTATTTTATTTAGTTTGTAGATTTTTACACTAGTTTTGTCACTCGCTGACAATGCTGTACAATGAAGTTATACAGGGTGACCAAAATTTAAACAAACAATCAGGAAAAAATACGCGCGAGGAACCACGAGTATCGAATTTTTATTCCAACAAAGTATTTTCTCCAAGACTCCAAAGTGAAAATTGAATACAGGGTCGCACATTAAAGATGACGAAAGACTATTTCTGCAACCGTACATCGTACTTATTTTATTTATATAATTTGTAATTTTAGGCGGAGTATTGTCAAATTGCATATCTTATTTACTTGATTGTTCACTCGTTTTTACTAGGTAGGTATATTTAAAATAAAACTCGTCTCGAAATACACCTTTGTTATTCTAATTAGTGGATGGAAACGTCAAAAACAGGCCGCCACCTTTACATCTCTGTATCCATGATTATCTACCAGCCGGTGTAAGAATGTCATTTTAACACTTGTTACAGAATGAAAATGCATGCAAAATACATGAGATACAAGTATTACAGAATATTTTTTCAATCTCAAGAGTAAGAATGTTCAAATTCGGTTATTAAAATAATTTCTGAAGAATTATTTATCATCAGCAAGGAATGGACATTCTCGATAGTCGATTCCATTCTCTAATAGAATCTGCAGATGCTTTAAATTCACTCAACTACATGTATGGAGGTTGAGCGAGATTAAGAAGTTATCTGCACTTTGTAAGCAAAATCAAAGCTCGCTTGTAGCTTATTAGGGTTTTAAAAATTGTAGATTCAACAACGAGCTGTTGAATTTGCTATCAGTTTTACTTTTTCATTTTCAAATTTTTTTAAGTATCTTTATTAGGATGTTTCATTTTTCCAAAGATTTTATTTTCATACGACTTTACCTATGCCCTGAGTCTAAGTGATAAAAAAATATATATATGCCAAATTTCAAAAAGATTGAATAATATTTAGGGGAAGAACACATTGATCACTTTTATCACAAACTGGTGAAATTTATAACATTGACTTGTTTTGTATTCTGTGATCTTTAATCTTTACATGTATTGCTTTTATCTTTTGCAAGTAATTGAGCTTTAAAATGGGAACCAAAAGAGGAATTTGGTTGCCAAAAAAGGTACCTAGTGGTGAGTTTTTAGGAGCTCGGCTCCCTTCAAAGGAACAAGTACTATTAGTTTTTATTTACCATCAGACGGATATGAAAGAAACACTTTAGGAAGCTGCTAAATCTACCAGTACTAAACTACAGGATGTTTGGAGGAAAGCAAGTATCCCTGTTGAGACAGAGGAGAATATACGCGCTGGTATACAGAAACTATACAAAGAATTCCAAAATCTAGGTAAAGAGAAATCTAGAAACACCGATAAAGCTAACATGAAACGGCAGATTTGGAAAGATGATCTTGTCGAGTTATTTGACATTTCCCTGCAAAATATGATAAAAATTACAAGTTTATCGAAAGAAGATAAACCATTTCTAGGATCATAAAGAGTTCATCAATGACTGGAGTAGACAAGGTTTTCGTCTCCAAAATTAGAACTAAATGTGCAAAAGAAGACAAAAATGATTCATATAAGAATACACATTACAGAGCTATAGCTCAAATGAATAAGACAGTGATACTGGAAGACTTATCATTATCATCATCCACACCTAGTGGCAAAGAGGACGAATTTGGACTCCAGCAAAAAAATTACGTTCAAGACCTAGAATAAAACCTTTGGATCAAACACTCACGTCTACTTGGGATCGAGAACAACTCTCTATTAAGCAAGCAAGTACTTTTTTTATAGCAACTGCAAAGAGCCTTGGCCACGATTTTCGTATTTTTCGTATTTACATCCAACGTTTACCGAGCTCGGGTGGTCAATAAAAGAAAATCGAGGAGACGTTTTTGAAAATTTTCCTCCTTTGCTCTTGCATTGGGATAGTGAATTGTTGCCCTCAGTTGCCCATGGAAATGTCAAAATTTTGGAAGATAGAGTTGCAGTTCTAGTGACTGGCAAAGATTTTAAGTTGCCGAGAAAGGCACCAGTGAGCAGATGGCTGAAGTAGTTATTCTGGAAGTGCACCGATTTGGGTGACAATATCATTGGTAAGGAGCTCTGCATCAAGCAAGGTGGATGGCAAAAGCAATTTATGCACTTAAAATTGTTCTCTTCACTAAACAGTTGAATATGCCTCAACGAGAATTAAAAGGAATGAGAAGGGTTGCACTAATCAATTGTAAGTCGATGGGCTCCAAAAAATGATTTGGATATGCTGCAGCTTTTGAATATTTACCCAGATAGACGTCAAAAAAAGTTCTCTTACTGTTGCTAAGAGACACCTGTGGTATATCTGTCAGAAACAATCGTAGGATTAGCTTTTTTGGATGAACGTATTAGTCAGATTGAAAAGAAAAATATGACTAAACATTTAGAAACCCAACCTCCGAATAAAAAGGAAACGAAAAGATTAGACGGTAAAAACTTAGTTGTTGAAGGAAAATACTAGTAAAACAAAAATGTTCTTTAAGTTGTTTGGGATCCATAACATGACAGAATATTGCAGTGATTCTCTAAGAAGTCAAGTGGACGCTCTTAAGGTAGTGAATGATAACGGTCAAAGATGAACAACAAAAACAATTTTTGCTGAGGGTAATAGAGCATCATAGAAAAGTTATCAACAAGCGAACTAAACAAAGGATTGCATCGTTCAAAGTTGAATAATATAAGACATGTTTTTCCTATATAATAATAATACTACCTAATAATCTTAATGTGTAGTTTTAAGTTTGAAATTTATAGTTTTAACAATAAAAGTAATTAACAATAAAAAGTCGTATTTTTGCATACTTTTACAAAACTGGTCAAAGTGTACAACCTCTAAATATTGACCAATCTTCTTGAAATTTTGCATTCATATCTTTTACATCACTGTCACGTAAGCAAAGTCTGCAAAAATTTTACATTTAATTCTTTTAGTTACAAAATGAAACACCCTAATCTTTATAAGTAAACGAAACCTATCAAATGTGGTCATCTACAATGAGACAATAAAACGCTGTGTGGTACTGATCTTACGTTTTTAATACTCTTTGCACAAGTCGTGTGTAAACTACAGAGTTGACATTAGAGCGGACAGGAAACGAATATCAGCGATGCTAGTTTATACGGCTCGAGAACATTACAGCGCGGTTGGGCCGTATAAACTGGCAACGTTCATATTATTCATTTGCTACTCGCTCTAATGCTAACTCTCTGTAGTTTTCACATGCACTTGTGCAAAGCGTATTGGAAAAGGTTCAGTGAACGAAACTGCATATTACGATCCTGCATGAGTGTATTGTACAAATTGAAGACTTTTTGGAAAAACAACACATACCTACCCAAAGTGTTGGTTCTATGTATTTCTAGCACTGTGAACGGAAAATATCTTTTGCATATTAAAAGAAAGAAACAAAAACAAAGTTGGACATGAGTTGGTGACAAGTAAAAAACAATGTCGATATTTTTATAGACTTTTAACAGTCTAACTAGTGAAATCAGACTGTATCGATATTCTTATTGGTCCCTTACGTATTTCATCAGTAGCTATACAATTTAATGACAGAAGAATACTAGTAAAAAAAGAAGATTATGATTTTTGGGCATGCCTGATATTATCCATTTACATAAACTTAGTCGAAGAGCAAAAGTATTATGACTGTTTAAGACTAATGCTATTACTAAGACTATGTCGAGTATAAATAGTTTAACTTCATATTTTATGCTTGTTCATTCTTATGACTAATATTTCCTAATTTGAATATAATAGACCCTTAAATACACTAAAGATAAAAAAAGGAAATAAAAAAACTAATAAAATTAGACAGAATAACCCCTCAAGTAGCTTAGAACATTTTTCGTGCAGGTAACATTGTTATTATTTTTATGGTTCTATTGAACTTCATCACAATAGTACCTAACTACTTAATGATAGAAAATAAATAGCAGTTTATCTAACATAAACCAATAAGGTTGATGACATGCGTCATTAAATTCGTAATTTCGTTTGATAACCAGTGTGCTACAGGAAAAGGTGTACCGATTAAGATAACAATTTTTGATTAGTTTTTATTGCAGCATTCTTTTTTCGTTGTTAAATGGTAGCTATTATTATTTATTTATAGAAATATATAAACTCAGCTTTAAATATTCTTCGTGTAAGCTTAAATTTTCACTGAACTTCGTGTGAGCAAATCTGTCATTTCAAAAACTTGGAATACCTAGGATTTTAGAGACGTAACAAGAAGGCCATACTGACGGCGTGCACGCATTACAACTGCACATTTTAGTAAGAAATGTAATTCAAAATCCACATTTCACGGCTTGACAGTATGCAAATCTACTGCGCCAGTATATTAAAAGGCCTACTTACGAGGATGGGATGAAAAGTTTCCGGCCTAACACAGAACGCAACAAAATAGTGACTGAATAAGAATTTATTTTTCTACATAGTCCCCTTGTAGGGTAATACATTTGACCCAAAGATGATCAAGCGATTTAATACCGTCACTGTAGTCTGTGTCTACAATTACTTCTAAATCCGTAAACATTTTTTTTGGCAGAAAAAATTTTTTTAGGTTTGGAAACAAATAAATGTCTGACGGGGTTAGGGATTAGAATACGGAGGATGGTTTAACAGTTCAAAGCCTAGCTGATGAATTTTAGCCATTACAAGAACGGACTTGTGGCAAGGTGCATTGTCCTGATGAAACAGAATTTTCTTTTTTGCCAAATCAGGGCGTTTTTCGCTTATATTCTGCTTAAGCTGGTCCAGTAAGTCGCTGTAGTACTCGGAATTTATTGTTCTTCCCTTTTCGAGATATTCTATTAGGAGTATCCCTTTAGCATCCCAAAAGACCGTTGCCATGACCTTTCCAGCAGACGGTACTGCCTTTGCCTTCTTTGGAACTGGTTCGTCCACTGTTTGGACTGTTGTTTAGTTTCAGGGGTATAATGATAAACCCATGTTTCATCAACCGTAATAAATCTACGCAAAAAGTCCCCTGGATCACGTCTAAACAGTGCCAAATTCTCCTCTGAAATGGTTAGCCGCGTGAGCTTCTGATCTGACGTGAGCAAACGCGGCACCCATCGGGTAGATAGCTTTCTCATACCTATAACTTCAGACAAAATATAGTGAACTCGCTCTTTTGATATGCCCACAGCTTCAGCTACCTCTTCCAATTTTAATCTGCGATCTTTTAGAATTAGTTTGTGAACGGTTTGCACCATTTCTTCAGAAGTTGCCGTCAGTGCTAGTACGACCACGTTTAAAGTCCGCTACCCAGGTTTTAACTGTGGTAAATGAAGGAGCAGATTCCTCTAGTGTAGCATCTAGTTCAGCTTTTATTTCCGTCGGCGATAATCCTTTGATATGGAAATATTTTATCACCGCTCTTATCTCGTTTTTTCCATCTTTTAAAAGTGGCGCATCTTATAAGCTTTTAAAATACCCAGCACACAAACTACTTGACGCACTCACTTTAAACTTCGAGCGTATACTGACGACAAGCAAGGCTACACAGACACGTTGGAACAGGAAAGCAAATCGGGCCTACTATAGGTTAGGCCGGAAACTTTTCATCCCATCCTCGTAAACTCAGAGCGAGGTGGCTTTGCGACAACGCATTTGCCTCGCATTAGAAAGGTTATGGGTTCGATCTCCACTGCCGCCTGAACTGTTATTTATGAGTTTTTTCAGAGGTTTTCTCAAAGTAATAGGCAAATGTTGGGTCAGTAACATCCTCTCAGATATCTATCACCATTTCTTCCACCTCTCTCGTCAGACGCCTGATCCCTCCAGTGCCGCTGAAGAGGCTCAGTAAGCCTACAGCGATCTGCTCTCAAGGAGAATATCCTTTACATTTACCTAACTTAAACAATTCGAAATCGCTGAGATAGTGATCTTGGCAGTCAGCAAGGGTATCAGAACTCACGAAAACATCAAACAGAACTTAGCAGGAACGGCAACAGGTATTATTCTCAGATGATTCTCGTTTTTGATTGTGTGGTCCTAACGGTCGTATTCGAGTCCGCAGACAGGATGAAAATTCCATGATAACATGGTACCATATATTTTGGAGGGGGATCAGTAATGTTGTGCGGATGCATCAGTTCCAATAAAAGAACTGAGCTCTTTGTACTTCAGGGGGGCCATCTGAAGGATTATCGGTACATTAAACAAAACCCATATATTGACTTATACCCAAAATTATGCCAAAAGTTTTATTTTCCAATAGTTACTGCCCTTCTTCATATCGCCAAAGAAGTTCGAACCTTTTTATTAAGAAAACTATATACTGGTAATAAATTGGTCAGTCAAAATTCCGGACTTACATCCATAGAAAACATGTGGGATGAGTTAGGATTACGCATGAGAAAGAAAGAAATGCCATATAACCCACAACTTGCACGATACTTTATTTCAACAAATAATTCAGCATGTTATCAAGAGTATGTCATGTCGACGTCTAAACGTAATACGAGCAATTTCAGTTTAATTTCGATAACTGTAGACTCTTAAGATTATTACCAAATAGAAACTAAAAAAATCTGCTATTTTAACCCTTAATCAGGCTCGCCTGAAGTACGAACAAGAAAGTAAAGTAATATTTACATTTTCTGGCAGTTTAAAAAAATATATGAGCCTGACAAAAAAATCTTATGTTCCTATATTTTAAGTGGGC